TATTGTTGTTGTTGTTGTTGTTGTTGTTGTTGTTGTTGTTGTTGTTGTTGTTGTTATTTTCCTGTCTTATTAAACTGTCTTTATCTCAACTCACGGGCTTCACTTTCCATTTCTCTCCCCCGTCCCAGAGAGGGAGGGGGAGGGGGAGCGAACGGCTGCGTGGTGTTTAGCTGCCGGCCGGGTTAAACCATGACAAGCTCCCACCAAGTGGATAAGGGTGTGTTTATTGCCAATCTTTTCCTCCATCACCAACCAGAGCAAGAAGAAGGAGGTGTGAAAGCAAAATGGGAAAAATAAAAACAGGAAGGGGTGGAAGAGGAAGGAGGAAAAGGAAGAAACTATCAACATCATCAACATGGAAGATTTGCGTAGACCCAAAGGTAAAGAGCAGCAATGGCAGGGTGAGCACAACACCAGGGGAAGGGTTAACAAGCCTTTCTGTCCATCTGTCTGGCTTTCAGAGCCCTGGAACCTGGTGCCGTCTTTCAAACCATCTGTGCTTTTCACTTCTGCTTTCACTGAGGGTCCCAGAGTCTCCAAGGAAATTAGATTTAGTGTTTGCAGGCCTCCCAAATCCACTGATCTCAGCCGTTTCTCACCCAAAGCAGGCCTATCTGCAGATGAATTTTTATCCACAGTGATGTCATTTACCTAGATGTCTTGGCCACAGATGGTGGGACAAGCTCATTGAGATTTGCTGTGAGTGTCCTGCCTCACCTGTCACCCCTATTTCCCAGAGCTATAGAGCAGAGCTGGGTGGCATGGGAAGGTATAGGATGTTGATGAGGATGTGGAGAGCTATATAGGAATGCTGGGGAACAGTATGGAGGGCTATAGGGTACACGTGAGCATACAATGGACTATAGAGCAGTGCTGGCGGCTGTACGTAGAGCCGTAGGGCACAGTTTGGGTCTCCATCGGCTACAGGGCAGTGCAGGTGCAGGCCTTTGTGGGCTGTCATTACACAAACTAAACCATAACATGATGCAGAAAGAGGAAATCAGCCCATTTCCCCTGGCCTCACAGCAGAGGCCACCTGGGAAAACAGTTTCCTAGCCCCACCTCTCCTATCAGCGAGCGTTCAGCTGCAAAACTCCTGCAGGAGAGTGGGGGAGGCTATACTGCAAAAAGTTTTGGAAGGAGAAGCTTTGCAGAGCTGGTGGCTCCTCCGTACTTAATACATTGATAAGATCTGCCCTGAAGAACTTGGGTGCTCCTCAACCAGAAACGCATCCTGGAGCTGGGTGCTTGCAGGAGGTGCAGGGGGCTCTTCAGAGGCACTGGCCATGGTGAACACTCAGGGAGAGAGGCACAGCAGGTCCCCCTGGCGCATTTTGGCACCAGGACTGGAATCACCTCCATATGATAGACAGGTAAGGGGCAAAAGGCACCAAGTGAAATACAGGAAAATCTATTCAAACACCAGAACTAATATTTATGGTGAGGGTGGTCAAGCACTGGAGCAGGTTGTGGGGTCTCTATCTATGGAGATGTTCAAATGGAAATGGAAAAGCCCCCAGGCTTCTTCAGCTGACTGCTTTGAGCCGAGGGGGGGGGGGAATGGATTAGATGATCTCCAGAGGAAGATCTCCAGACTTCCCAACATTAAATAATCTGTGATTCTGCAACGCTTCAGTGTGGCCAGTTGGGTCTCAGTCAAACTGCTGGCATCCAGCTGAGTGTCCCCAGCATGCCCAGGGGCCTGGGGTTGTTTGGGGTCCTCTTAGGGCCAGGACACAGCCTCCAGCACCAGCCACATCGGGTGGTCACACTGGGGACGGTGACCATAGAATCATAGAATCATTAGGGTTGGAAAAGACCTCCAAGATCATCTGGGCCAACCATCCCCCTACCACCAATATCCCCCACTAAACCATGTCCCTAAGTATCACATCCAGCCTTTCCTTAAACACCTCCCTCAGGGACGGTGACTCCACCACCTCCCTGGGCAGCCTATCCTGATGCCTGACTACTCTTTCTGAGACAAAATATTTCCCGATTTCCAACCTGAACCTCCCCTGGTGCAACTTGAGGCCATTCCCTCTTGTTTCCTATTGCTAGTTATCTGCAAGAAGAGGCCGATCCTCAGCACCCACACCTTCCTTTCAGGTAGTTATAGAGGGCAATAAAGTCTCTCCTCTCTCCTCCAGACTCAACAACCCCAGTTCCCTCAGCCACTCATAAGACTTGTGTTCCAGACCCTTCACCAGCATTTCAGCCTTTATTTGGACACATCTCAGGGCCTCGATGTCCTTCTTGTCGTGAGGGGCCCAAAGCTGAACATGGTACTTGAGGTGAGGCTTCACCAGAGATGGTTCATCACCTCCCTGGTCCTGCTGGCCACTATTCCTGATACAAGCCAGGATGCTGTTGACCTTTTTGGCCAGCTGGGCACACTGCTGGCTCATTTTCAGGTGAGCATCGACCAACACCCTCAGATCCTTTTCCTCTGCACAGCTTTCCAGCCACTCTGCCCCAAAACCTGTAGTGTAGCATGGGGTTGTTGTGACCAAAGTGCAGGACCCAGCACTTGGGCACGTTGAACCTCATGCCATTGGTCTCTGTGCATCAGCATCCAGTTATTTGGTCTGGTTTGTGCTCTATGCAAATTCGGCATCGAGACTGAAAGGTTCGCCTCACCCTCCCTTGCTTTCTCCCTTGCTTTCCTTCTGGACCAAGGGGTAAGGAAAGGAAAGCTCTGCCTCGGGGTGAGCTAACAGGTAAAAGACATGAGGGGGTTGCAAGGAGCCCTAGGCCGTTTGTGTTTGAAATGACCCCACTGCTATTTGATCACAGCGCAGACTCGGGGCTGTTTTTCATTTCCCCGAAGTCAAATGGAAACCAAAGGCACTTGAGAAAATTTCTACCCTCAGAAGCACTCCGAGGTTTGGCTCGGCGCCCAGAAAGCGGCGCCTGAAGCTCTTTCTAACACGGCTGCTGTTTGCTCTGGCCTGGCTCCAGCTGACCTGAGCTGATAGAAACGTGGGAGCTGCACATTCCCTCTCACACTGGCCACACTCGCATCCACTCTGAGGATGACTGGCAGCTGTCAGTCACCGCCTCAAGCTTGTTGAGGGGAGAGCTCATGGTCATCTTCTGACACCTTACTGAGGGACACCCATGAGCTGCCTGCACTCACGCCCTGGCGGGTGTCCAGTCCTGGAACGTGCCCAGACCCAGGCTCAGCAGCAAGGGATGCAGGACATGTGGCAACCTGGAGAGAAAGCCAAGATCGTGGCCCTGAGCTGCTGTGAATGGTGCAGAGGAGGTTCCTTTGTCCCTTCTTGGGTGTTCCTCCTCCCTCCAGCTCTCCTAAGGAAGGTGAGCCCACACAGGCTGGTCCCAATCCCACTGCCACACTAACCCTCTTCCCACAGAGAGAAACATCGAGCACCTGGTGACAGCCCTGGATGTCTTGAGGTGTGTAGGCATCAAGATAATCAACACCACTACAGATGTGATCCAACACCCACTGGGTCATCCTTCATCCTTCATCCACCATCCTTCCCTCCTCCATTATTTCTCTGCCCATTCCAGCCCAGCCATCATTTGATAGAAGAAATCACCCCAAAGTCATTCACTTTTGTACCCCAGTGCTCAGCCGTGCCAATTCCCTCCGCTGTTCTAACCAAACTCCCCATCCCCTCTCATTGTCTTCCTACAGGGGTTCCTGCTGTGGGTGGAGGAGACCTGTCCACCCCCGCTCACCCCAGTATGCCCCCAGGCTCCACGGGGACCTGCCTGTTCGCCAAGTCCCACCTTCATCTCCTGTAACTCTGCATCTTTCCATAAAGCCAACTTGAGCAAACACCAGGGAAAGCTGGAGGTCACCGTACATAAAGTCCATGTGACTGCCACTGCATCCAATACTGCCTAAGCAAACATGAAAGCCCTGGTGGAAAACCAAGAATCAGCAAAACGATGACACGGAGCAACACCTTGTCTCCATGGCACCAGGACAGAAGAAGCCTGACTCTTTGGTGTGAAGGATGGGAGAGGGTTTCACCAGGAAACTTCTGCTTCAGGTTCCTGTGCATTGCTCTAGGGTGGCATGGCACCCTAGGCGGTCCATGGCCAGTATTTCCAGCCCTGCTGTGACCACGCTCTGCCATGGGATGTGCTCTGTGGTGAGTGCTTGCTCATCAGTTCTGGCATACAGCTCCTCTGGAACTGTTTTATGCATTTCCCAGTGAAGGAGGAAGCCTTAGCAGAGGTCATGCTCTTATGCACTTGGGATGTCAAAGCTAAGGGCTGGCATGACAGAAAGAGCAGTGTTTGGAAGGATCTTGAATTAAAAGTCCTGCTCACTGAATAATGCCCTTGTTCCAATGAAGATAGATCAGCAGCACTCAGTTAACCTGCCATAAGTTGCATTGTATTACTTTGAATACATTTCATGCTGCATTGCAGTGCAAATAAATCATTGCATTGCAAATAAACCATGCTGTTTAGCAATAAATCATGTGGCAGTTGACTTTGCTGCACATATAAATAACATGTTTCAGTTTCCCGGCTGTAGCTGGGTTCAGCTGCTTGTCAGGACAGTAGCCTGACAAACAACAAGGACAAACAACTTCGGGAGAGACAATGACAGATGAAGTGTGTGACATATAGCTGGACATGCAGGCATTATTCATAGGTTTGTGCCCAGTGCACCTGGCCAGTAAGCACACAGAGTCAGAATCCACATGAAGGTCTTTTAATTAAGTAATTAATTATATAATTCTGCAGAATCAGGTGCTTGGCGATTTTTGCAAAGCAAGCACCCCTCTGACTTGAAGCACTGCTATTTTTACACATAAATACACTCGTTAACATGTGAAACCATCTCTCTGGATACTTCTGATCACCAAGAAGAGAACAGGAAAACCAGGACTGATGTTTATGGCGTTTGCACATGCAGCTGTTTCAAGCTCGGGTATTTCCTGACCGTGTTTTGAGCAGCTCTATCTGACTTCGTCCCGCACAAGCTTCCTGCTGCTCTCAGGCAGGATGTGGGAGGTTGTTTTTGATGTGCACATGCTGTTTTCTAAGCACCAGCAGCAGGGCTTGACAAGGCGAGGGACTTTGGCCATGGATACCTGGCAAGTCTCTAGGGCTAAATGCTTCCAGAACCAGGGATAAGGATGGAGGAGAGATTCACAGCCCTCTGCTCGGAACCACCCCCAATTTCCTTTCACAGGAGCTGCCCTTTATCAGCCCTGAGAAGCCTTGCAGACACTGGGGAGGAGCAATGCTCTCAGCTCCCATAGCAGGAGGTGGCCCTGCCCATTCTCTTGTTTCACTTTTGCTTTAGTTCAGAGCCTCCGCTGCTCCACAGCCCTGCAGCTCTCCTGCATCATGAACAGATGGAAGACGGCAGCCAAGAAGGAGCAGAAGTGTAACAATCCTAATTTGCAGCCCGACCTGGAAAGCCTGATGGGAAATATAGAAGTCTGCCGCAGTGTGGGCATGGAGATCATCAACAACACCAAAAAGGTGACGCTGGAGGACTTCAGGTGTGCATCCCCTGCTCCCCTACTGCTTTCCGCCAGCCTCCCCTGAGGGATCTCCTTAAAATGCCTTGGGTGTTGGGAAAACAATGGGGGCAAGCTCAGTGCCTGGTGCCAGAGCTCTCTCCTGCAAGTTCCTCTAGCTCCTGCTGGAACCCTCCTCCGTATACACCAGTTGCACTACTCAGATGCATGCGCTTTGAGAAAGCCTTTCCTTATCCACCTTTGGAGGACTTCCTTTCCTTATCTACCTTGCCCAGATGACCTGAGGCCATCAGGATGAGCTCTCATCTCTTCCAGATTGGGGGAACCAGCAGAAACCAGTACATATTTATGCTGTGCTACCTTTTGCCACTCTCATTTCCTATTCCCTTCCCATTAAGGCTTAGTTTGTGCACTTTGAGGTCTACTGAGATTTTCACAGAGGGCAGGGGCAGTTATTAACAGCATGACCAAATGCCTTAAGAATGTAAAGGTGTTAAGAAACAGAAGAAGGGTGCCATCCGGGGAATTTCTGCTGGGACAAGTGTCATTCAGTGTATTCTGGAGAGACAAGGGAGAGGTATCAATAATGCCACAGTCTGGGGCAGAAAAGCAAAGGTCAGAAGTTCACAGGACCACAGACTGCTTGAGGTTGGCAGGGGCCTCTGGAATTCCTTTGGTCTCTTACCCAGGACCATGTCCTGATTTTGAGTATCTCCAAAGATAGTAAAAATATATAAAAAATTGATATCTCCACCACATCTCTGGGCAGCCTGTGTGAGTCCTCAGTCTCCCTCATGGTAAAGACGTTTCCCGATGTTCAGAGGGAACCTCCTGTGTTTTATTTTGTGCCCATTGCCTCTTGTTCTGTCCCTGGGCACCTCTGAAAAAAGTCTACTCTGTCTTCATTGCACACTCCCTGCAGGTATTTACATACATTGGCAAGATCCCCTTGAGCCTTTTGTCTTCTCCTTGGTAAATTGTGCCAGCCCCCTCAGCCTATCCTCCCTTGTTGGTTTTGTGGCCCTCCATGGGACTCTCCCCAGCACATCCACGTCTCTTTTTGTTCTGGTCCTTCTCTTCTTGCAGGAGTTACTGCTTCAGTGGCAACATCCGGATCCTTCCCCCCTTTGAAATCGGCCCACAGTCCGTAGGAAGATGCATTTTTGCAAAGACGCCATACAGCCTGCGTGGGAGTGTGGGTGTCCTGGTCTGCAAGGCCAGCTCTTTCTCACTGGCCATCATGTTCTCCAACCCCTTCGACTACGTCCTTTACAACATCGAGTTCGCTCTGGAGCTCTTCAAAACAGAGAACCACATGGGAAGACTCCATGCAGTCTTCTCCCGTATGATGGAAAGCAAGCCTTATGGCAGATCCACACTCTTCCAGAGAGCTACACTAGCGTCAGACCATGAAACCCTGGAGGTCTCCTCCGGGAATATTCGTGTCAGAGCCAAGATGTCCAACACTGCAAAAGCGATCCTGAAAGTCCAGGTAGATGATATAGATCCCCCACCCTATTCCAAAGACATGTGAGTGAAGACACCTTTGCTGTCAAAAGCTTCCCTCGTGAGATTTTCATCAAGGATGAAGGTAGAGATCTCACTGTGCTGCCTCTTTGGTGATCACAGGTGGTGACTGATGATAAATCTGGTGGGAGATGGCACCACCAGCAGCCCGGTTGCTCTTAACTGTCCTACAGCTTCAATGACTTTGCCAATAAGCTAACAGCAGCTTGTAGAGTGCTATCTCACGCTTATGGGTGATAACTAATAAACAATGCTCCAACCCTTGTACGCTGCATATGTCCTCCTTGCAGAGATGCTTAGCGTGTAGATAAGGATGCCTACAGAGCATCACAGCAAGATGCAGTGATGCCCCCCTGCCACCATGCCCTCCCTCTGCTCTGCCCCGTGCTTTTTTCCTAGCTCAGGCAGCCATCCCAGCTCTGTTTGGGATGTCTGGGGACAGCCTAAAAGCTGACGGACAGCAGCTGCGGTTCTGTTGCTCAGCCCATGCCAGGAGGAGTGACCCTTGTCAGCAGGGGACATCTATTTGTGCCACCCCTGCAGCCCCTAGGCACCGTTTCAACTTTGCCCCTTGCACTGTAGGGAAATGCCTGCACAAAATCACCTCTGGCATGTCTCATCCTCCCACTCCCCACCACTCTGCCCGTGGGTGGAGGCGCACGCTGATCTCCAGTGCTTCCTTCCCAGAAGTCAGGCACCACAGGAGAAACACAAGGGCGAGAGGGGCTGGCTTTTGCAAAATGATGCTTCCAGGCCAACGTGTAAATAAATACACACTGGAGGACGAAGTGTCAGGTGGAGCCTGCTGCAGTGGAGCTCAGGCTAACAGAAAGCACGTCATGGTTTCCTGGAAGGGGGCCTTGGTTTTGTGCTTCAGCCGAGCTCCTCCCCTCCGCTTACCCAGCACCCCAAGCCAGCAGCCACTGGGACAAAAAGGGGATTTCGGCTTGGCTTCCCTTCCCTCACCCTTTCCCTCCCTTCTTGAAATCTCATGTGGTCACTGGCTGTGACATCAGAAAACAAACACAAAATGAAACAAAACAAAAACAAACAAACAAACAAACAAAAAAAGAATTCCTCCTCAGAAAAAGCAAGCAAGCAAACAAAAAAAAACAAACAAACAAAAAAAAGCAAAAAAAAGCCCACGCAGGAGCAGGGGTGTTGGGGGGTGCTGCTGCCTGTGGGCGACCCATGTTAGAACAGAACTTAAAGATCAGGTTGGAAGGACAGCATTCCAGAGGAGGGACCCCCTGTTGGGGCAGGGGCAGGGAGTGAGTGTGGAGGAGTGGTGGAGATGAAGCGTTACGGACTGACTGCAGCCCCCATTCCCCCATCCCTGTGCACTGTTTGGGGGGAGGAGGCAGAATGAGATGGATGACTGGGGAAGGTTTGTTGTTTGCTTTTAGTTCCCACTGCTCTCCACTGTCATTCATTCGCAATAAATCACAGCAATCTTAGCCAAGCTGCATCTGTTTTGCCCATGCGAGTAACTGGTGGGAGATCGCCCCATTCTTAGCTTAACCCATGAGTTTTTCAGTGCTTCAGAGAGGTTTTTCCCTTTGGCAAGGTGAAGCCTGTTCCCACCTGCAAGGAGCAGAGTGAAAAGCCACCATGTGGCTTCTGGTAGCCTGTTGACATGATGTCCAGTGCCACCAGGGTGGCAGGACAGAAAGCCCCAGCCCAGCCTGAGCTTCCTGCAATGTGCAGCACAGCCCTACAGGTCATCACAGCCTCTGGATCTGCGGTGGCTCCGTCTCTGTGAAGCCTGCAAGTGTGGCAGGGCTCTCCAGAAGAGCATCATCTCTGCAGGAGGTGCTGCAGTATAGTATCTCCATCCCCACTGCGTGGGGCTGGTGGTATCATCCCTATTCTGCCTCCCACCGGTTGCCTGTGATCATCCCTGCCCTGCAGCCCCCATGTCCACCACTCCCCAAGTTCCCAAGCCTGTGGAGCCCCCATGCCTCATGTCACCAGCACATTTCATCATCAAACCGCAATGGCATAAACAAAGGCAGGATAAGAACAGTGTCCCATCTCCAACAGCCAGGAAAGGGACAGGTCCCATCCCATGTCCTGCTTGGGGGCTTCTTCTCCAGGCTGGTAAGGACCCTGGCTGTCTGCTGGTGTTTTCTGGGTGCTGAGGGTGCAGGTGAGGGGCTGCCCCAGCTACCCCACATTTCTATTCCCCACATGAGCTGTGACCCCAGGTCACCCCAGCTTTGACCATCGGTATTCAGAGCAGCCAACGCCTACAGCAGGGAACCCATCCCCACCTCCCCTCCTCTTCCTCACCACACTCCTTCCCAGCACAGGCATAGAAGTGGAGACCTTCTGTGCCCAAAAACCTTTGGGTGCAGGATCAGGGGCTCTCTGGAGCCCCTTTTTGTCTTTGGAGAGGGGAATTCACCAGTTTTAAATGTTTTGAGGTCATACGCACCCAGGTGCGCAGGAGAGAAGCCGGGACCATCAGCAGACATCAAAAAATCACGGGCCCAGTACTGGTCCCCTGGGGGACTCCTGATCTGGGTTTTGACTCCCTTATCAACGAGTTTCCCACCTGCCAAACTATCTTCTCCCTTTGTCCACACAACCACAGCTTGCCTTGAAGAACACTACAGCACACAGCCTTGAATGAAGCCTTATCACTGCCAACCATGGTGATGGGCCAGAATGCTTCACCCTTGGTAAGTCACTGCTGGAGACCCTAGCAGACCCAGGACAGCTGACCCAAAGTGGCCAAAGGGGTATTCCATACCAAAGTCATGCTAAACAATTAATATGGGGGGCTGGCTGGGGTGGGGGGTGTGGGTGCTCAGGGATAGGCTGGGCATCGGTCAGTGGGTGGTGAGCAATTGCATTGGGCATTGCTTGTTTTGTACACATTATTAGTAGTAGTACTATTATTGTTATTATTATCATTATCATTATTTTCCTGTCATAATAAAGTGTCTTTATCTCAACCCACAGGCTTCATTGTCTCATTTCTCTCCCCCATTCCGGAGACGGAGGGTGAGTGAAAGGCTGTGTGGTACTGAGCTGCTGGCCGGTTCAAACCACACCACCAGTTCACCCTTCACATTTATCAGAGGGGGCACACTTTTTTTTCCTTTTTTTCTGAGCAATGTACCTATAGAAACCCTTCTTGTTATTTTTTGCACCCCTTGCCGAGCTCAGTTCTATCTGTACCTTTCCTGATCCCATCCCTGCACATCCAGACAGCATTCCTGGACTCTTCCCAGGCCATGTGTCCCTGCTTCCACTGCCTTTGCATCTCCTTCTTGCACCTCACTTTGACCAGCAGGTCCTTGCTCAGCCATGCCTGTTTCCTGCCTTCCCTGCTTGATTTCTTCCAGATGGGGAGCTCTTTTGCTTTAAGACAAGCGTCCTTAAAAATTTGCAAGCTCTGATCATTTCCTCCATCCCAGGGGATCTCATCCACTGGTTCTTTAACAGACGGAATTTCTCTCTTCTAAAGTTGAGGGTCCTGGCTTTGCTCTTTGCCAGGCCCAAGATCAGAAATTCAACCAGGGCATGGTCATTGCAGCCCAGACTGCCTCCAGTCTTAACCTCTTTAATGAGTTTGTCTTCATTGGTGAGCACCAGGTCCAGTAACACTTCTCTGGTTGGTTTCTGTAGTAACTTGTTATGTTCAATGGTAAAGAAGTTTGGTAGGCCCTAAACCCCCTTGTGTTACATCTTGTCCTCAGGTATCACAGGGGCTGGGGGCGGCCGGCTGGGCTGGACCCAGTTCAGCACTGAGTCCAGTCACGTTCAATATATTGAATTATCATGACCACAGATAGCATGGCACACCTTCAGGCTAGTAGATTAATGACTGCCATAGTTTACTGAAGCAACAGGAGTACGGATTCTTTTGGATTCCTGGTGATAAGTAGGCTGTATGCCAAGCACATGCAGATACCAAGAATATGACCAATGCAACCTACTACATACAAGTTAACTTATGAAACAACTCTATAGACAATATTAGGTTTCCTGGGGAAGCACTCATTATACCCAAGGGTTTGAATCTCACTCAGTAGGCATCCCTGCTGGGGGGGAAGAGAGGTTGAACCTGTTGACTGATGCCAGAAGCCAGTGATGTCCTTCCAACTTGATGGTATTTTCCCTAACACTTTTTTTCTCTCGAGCCATTTCTATACTATTTTCCTACCTTTAGGTGGAGCATGAGTGACACTGGTCAAATGTACCCTTGTATAAATCTGTATAAACTTAGAAATTGGCATAAATTTATAAATTGGTATTAATCCTTTTTCATGTTTAAAGGCCTAGGCTTAGAGAAATCCAGAGCGCATGCTCAGTGGTCGCACTCTGGAGGTGAGTAGCCTTTGGAGTGGAGGTGTGTTTTGACATTATAACAAGAGTATAACGAGCAAAGCTCACCCAGAGGACACGATTTGGTTATCAGCCCACCAATTCCATGGTATCACCAGGTTTCCCATCACTGCAGTGATAGCACAGAGCCTGCACACGGGGTCGGAATAGAAGGTATTTTGAGCAAGTTTGCCGATGACACCAAACTTGGAGGAGTTGTGGACTCGAATGAGGGTGGAAAGGCCTTGCAGAGGGATCTGGATAGGTTGGAGAGCTGGGCGATCGCCAACCGCATGAAGTTCAATAAGAGCAAGTGCCGGGTCCTGCACCTGGGACGGAGAAACCCTGGCTGCACGTACAGACTGGGCGATGAGACGCTGGAGAGCAGCCTAGAAGAGAGGGATCTGGGGGTGGTGGTAGACAGCAAGTTGAATATGAGCCAGCAGTGTGCCCTGGCAGCCAGGAGGGCCAACCGTATCCTGGGGTGCATCAAGCACGGCATCGCTAGCAGGTCGAGGGAGGTGATTGTCCCGCTCTACTCTGCGCTGGTGCAGCCTCACCTCGAGTACTGTGTGCAGTTCTGGGCACCACAGTATAAAAAGGACATGAAACTGTTGGAGAGTGTCCAGAGGAGGGCTACGAAGATGGTGAAAGGCCTGGAGGGGAAGACGTACGAGGAACGGCTGAGGGCACTGGGCCTGTTCAGCCTGGAGAAGAGGAGGCTGAGGGGAGACCTCATCGCAGTCTACAACTTCCTCATAAGGGGGTGTTGAGAGGCAGGAGACCTTTTCTCCATTAACACCAGCGACAGAACCCGCGGGAACGGGGTTAAGCTGAGGCAGGGGAAGTTTAGGCTTGACATCAGGAGGAGGTTCTTCACAGAGAGGGTGGTTGCACACTGGAACAGGCTCCCCAGGGAAGTGGTCACTGCACCGAGCCTGTCTGAATTTAAGAAGAGATTGGACTGTGCGCTTAGTCACGTGGTCTGAACTTTTGGGTAGACCTGTGCGGTGTCAAGAGTTGGACTTGATGATCCTTAAGGGTCCCTTACAACTCAGGATATTCTATGATTCTATGATTCTATGATTCTTCGCTCCACCCTCCGTGCTGCTTACTCAGCACACCCAGCGCCCCTGGTGCTGCCAATATGTAAGGCTCCAGGTTATGATGCCAAGGGGAATATCACTAACAGATTCCTTGCATATCTGCCGGGTCTCACCCTTGGATTTTCCTCAGTGCTAAAACTTTTTTTAATATCTGGACAAAGCTTTAGTTTCAATGTCACCTAAATTATTCCACGTGCCTGGAGCAGGAAATTGAGACTCCTGCAGTGCTCACAGGCTGCTGTGGGTAAAGGGATGCTTGGGGTTCAAGAGCCCCCAGATGGGGGGCAAAAGAGGCAAAGGGGATGGGATTTCTCTTGGGCAAGCCCCATGGAGGATGGGGGTGACAACGGCCATCACAAATCCCTGCCCACCACCACCCTGGGGTGTGCTCGTGGCAGGCTCCTTGTGCTGGGTGGCCAAGGGGCTGGGGCTGGGACCACCCTCAGTGTGGATGTTTCTGTGACTTTTAGGGACCAGCTCAGAACCTCCCTTCCTTCCAGGTTCCTAACCCACAGGATTCTTCCACACTGATCCCCTAAGAGGCCCAAGTTTGCTCTCCTGAAGTCCAGGGTCACAACCCTTTTTGCCCTGAGCCTTGTTTTGTCCTTTTCCCACTTCAAACCTAGTTTAAAACCCTATGAAGCAGCCCTGCTAACCACTGGGCAAAAACCCTTTCTGTCCCCTCAAAGAAAAGTGCTCCTCGTCAGGCTCGGTGCCACGCAGACCTTCCCATGATCAAGAAACCCAAAACTGTGTCGGCGGCACCAGCCTTGGAGCCACGCATGGAACTGGACCTCCCACCCTAAACTCTGCTGGTGGGGTGACTGCTGGTGACTATAGGGTGGTGGTGGTGGCCCTGCTCCAGCGCCTGGGAAAACCTCAGAAATAAAATAAAATAAAATAATAAAAAAATAAAAATAAAAATAAAAATAAATACCACTCTCTCCCCCCCACCCCCCAAAAAGCCCTGCATGGAGGCTGCTGGGGGGAGACACAAGGGGTGAGAGCACCTGGGGAGGATTTCAGGAGTTATTGAGGGTTCTGGAGGCAACCAGGAAAACGAAGGAGAGGCATGGGGAAGAGGCAAAAGGGATATGGGGTGGGGGGGGGGGCACAGGGCAGTGCCAGGTAGGCAGGAGTCTTGGGGCAGGGGGTGAATAGGGGGCAGCACAACTAGCAGGGGAGGAGGAAGCAGTTATAGGGTGGTGAGAAGCAGCACAGCCCCATGCCAGCCCCCGCTTTGTTACCCTCCAGCCCCAGGAACCAGCAGTAAATAAAGGAGGTAGTAAAAAAACAGCCTCTGGCTTTATTAGGGGCAGCTCCTTAGGGACACGGTAGCAGAGGGGATGGGTGAGGGGACGCTGTCCACGAGAGGCACGTGGGGACCCTGGTGCTGGAAGGGAGGCACTTGGGGACCCTGGGGACAAGGGTGGACCACAGCCCCCCCCCACCCCCAGCCACTGCAGTTGGGGAGAAGCACACGGGGATGGGGCAGGGGCATGCCCTGGGGTCCCCTTGCTGGAGGAGAGGGCTGTGGGGACACCAGGGACGGAGGATGGCCATGTTCCAGCATCCCTGTCCCAGCAGGGAGGTATACGAGGACACAAGGTGGGGGCACACAGGTAGCCTGGGCAGGATCAGGCCCTAGGGACCCCAGGCTGGAGGGGAGGGATGTGGGGACCCCAGGGAAGAAGGGCTACATATGGGGGGTCCCTACTATGGGGAAGGGGAAGGCAGGGGGTACCCAAGGGATGGAGGGGGAGCCCTGGGACCCCACAGATTGGGGGGGGGGGGATCCTAGGGTCCCTGTTATGGAAGAGAGGGGCAGGGGGACCCCAGGGATAAAGGGTGACCACATCTGTGCATCCTTGTCCCTGATGGGACCCCCGAAAGGGGAAGGCAGGGAGGGTTTGGGGGGGTGGGCTAAGGGGGCAGGGAACTGGCCCTGCCTGGAGTGACACCAAGTCCCAGTGTCCCCATCCCCAGGGTAGCCCTCAGGGACAAGGTCAGGCCCCAGTGTCCCCACCCCGTGCCCCCCACAGTAGGGGGGCTCTGGGGGGGTCCCTACAGGGTCCGTGGTATCTCAGTAAAACTCCTCGTCCTCCCCTTTCTCTGCCTGCTGCTGGTTCTGGATCTGCTGCTGCTTCTTGTACAGCTCAGCCACCTGCAGGACAGGGAGAGGAGGTGGTGACACCCCGCTTTCTTGTCCCCCCCCCCCCCCCCCCACACACACACACACACCACGGGGACACCCCAGGCTCCCTCCCCATCCCCTCCCCAGCACCTGGGTGCTGCTGGTGGCCTCCTCGGGCTTCTTGTCCTCCCTCACGCGAAGGAACCGGGGGAAGCGCAGCGAGATGCCCTTCTCCTCGTCCACCTTGGGGACACCCAACAGGGCTGAGATGCCACCGGGGCCGAACACAGGGACCCCTCCGCCCCCCACCGTGTCCTCCTGCCCCACTCACCAGCCCCACGGCTGCCCTATAGACGGGGGAGATGGAGAGGTCCCCGCACTTCACCTCCCAGACCTGCACTGCTGCCAGCCAGCGGTCGGGGGCTGCCCCGCTGTCCCAGCGGTAATAGGGACGTGGCTGGGCCAGGACGTGCTCCTGGAGGGTGACACCAAGGGACAGCATCAGGAGCCAGCCCGGAGCTCGCCCCCGAGGTGCCGCTTCTCCAGCAAGTCCACCTTGAGGAAGCCGTAGTGCTTCTCCAGGCTCTCCTCCGTGAAACCGGTGCCGATCTGCATGGAAGGACAAGGAAGGGTTCGGGACGGTCCCCGGCGACGTCCCCAAGCCCACGGATGGCCCCAGGGGTCACCTTGCAGATGCTCTGGTACTCCTCGCTCTCCTCGTCGTAGCAGGCCAGCAGGAAGCCCCCGTAGATGCCTGCACGCTTGCCCTTGCCCAGGTAGGCGCCGATGACCACCAGGTCCAGCGTGTCCCCAAGCCCGTCCAGGTAGTCCTTCTTCAGCTGGAGGAAGAAAGAGAGAGGGGAAGGGGGCTCGGAGACCCAGGGACAAACTCCGAGGGGGTCCCCACCGCTCACCTTCAACCACTTGTGCGACCGCTTGGCGATCTCGTAGGTGGCGTCCACCTCCAGGGTCTTCACCATGAGGCCCTCGCAGGAGGCTGGGGGCACCCACAGCCATCGTCACCCGGGGAAGGGGGGGGGGGGGACAACGGGGACGCGACACCAACCCCGCTCCCCCCGGTGGCCTCGCTCACCCTTGATGGCCTTGTCGAGGAACTCCGAGACCTCCTCGGCGCTGCGGGTGTCGGCGGAGGTGGCGAAGACGAACTCGCCCTCCACCTCCTCGAAGGACTCCCGCAGGAGCTTGCGCCGCGCAGACAGGGGCTGCCGCACCAGGGGCTGCAGGGGGACACCCCCCCGGGGGGCACAACGTCACCACCACCCCCCCCAGGGGACTTAATGTCCCCCCTCCAGGGCCGCACACTCACCTCCCCGTTGAGGTAGAGCAGGTCGAAGGCGTAGAGGCAGACCTGCACCTTGATGGCAGCGGCATCCACGTCCTGCGGTGGGGTGGGACACGTTGTTGGGGGGGGGAAGGGGACGGGGGTGTCACGGCACTGGCTGGGTGCTGTCTCCCTGTGTCCCTGCTCCCTGCTCTCACCTTCCTCTTCCTCGTCATCAGCACCTGGAAGGGCTGGATCTGCCTTGTGGTCCGATCCCACGCCACGGCCTCCGCATCCAGGATGCAGGAGCGCACGCCAGGCTTCAGCACCTGGGGGAAGGGAAATGGGGGGGAAGGGGGGCTGGTGCTCAGCATCAAATGAGCCCCCCGAAATCCTCCCAGCTCCCCCCCACCTGCCTTGGGGATGCGGTCCACGAGGTCGGGGTACTTGGCGGTGGTGTTCTCCTGGTTGCGGCTGTAGATGAAGACGGCCCCACTCTCCAGGACGTGGATCTGGGGGTGGGGGGGAAACACAACGCATGGAGGTGATGAATGAGGGGGGGCAGCACCCCAAGGACCCCCCCACACCCCCCAAAGCCTAACCTGGGCTCGCTCGCCATCATATTTATACTCGCAGGTGAACGCTGCCTCCTCGAAGCGCTTCAGCAGCTCCCCTACGCCACGGGCAGGCTGGGCCAGCATGGGCTTCAGGGGGACACCTTGAGGGGGGGGAGAGGGACAGGATGAGGCCGGGACCCCCCCAAAAACCCCCCTCCCAAGACCCTCAGACCTCCCCTCACCCCGCAGTACCTGGGGTGATGCCGCAGTGCTGGGGCAGCTTCTCCAGCCCGTGCTCCAGCAGCACCGGGACGATGGCAGCGTAGTCAGGCAGCTCGCTGCGGGGACAGCCCCGGTGTCCCCTCCTTGTCCCCATGTCCCTTCCCTGTCCCTGTGTCCCCTACCTGTCCCTGTGTCCCCTCCCTGTCCCTTCCCTCTCCCTGTGTCCCAGACCCCTTCCCAATAGGACAAAAGGGGACCCTGGGGGATGAAAGGGGATCGAAGTGACAAAAGGGGACCCCGGGGGACAAAACGGGGCCCCTTAGGGGGGGGAACCAAAGCGGGGGCCCCCCAGGGCACCTCACCAGAAGGTCTGCTTGAGGATTCGGCTCTGCTCCTCCAGCCATGCCCTGCGTGCCTCGGGGGCCATGCCCTGCCCGGCATCCAGCACAGCTGGCGGCCACCCTGAGATTTGGGGGACACACAGCCACAGTGTCACCACCTGGGTGTCCCCCCCGTCACCACCCTCACCACCAAGCATCCTCGGGGTGTCCCCAGCAGCCAGCCTCACCTTGCCCCGGGGGGGTGAGCGCCACGGCGTGCGCCAGGGCGGTGAGCACCGACTGCTCGGCCAGCCCGATGCGCAGCTTCCCGCTGAGTGACCTGGGGGACGGGGCACAGCTCTGGGGTCGCTACGGGGCAGCCCCACAGGCTGCGACCCCCCCCATCCTATAAAACCCCAACCCTTAACCCTCACCGGACGAGGTAGCGCGCCTCCGAGTGCCGGCAGGCGACGAAGAGCCCCTTGATGATGCCGATCTTCTTGTTGGCCGACTGCGAAACCCAAAGCGCCGCTGGCACCCCCGGGGACGGGGACGCAACGGGTGACCCCCCCGTCCCCAAACCCTTTTTATCCTCGCACTCACGGCGTTGCCCGACATGGTGGCCATCTCCCGCAGCTTGCCCAGCACTCCAGCAGCACTGAGCGGGGCGGGAGCCACCACGGTGCGCTGGGTGCAGCGGCTGCTCTCCGCCACCAGCCCCAGGTCCCCCTTGTCCTGCGCCTCGCTGCGGATCTGCGCCAGCTGCCGGCCTGCGGGGACGTCACCCCCCCAAAAAATCTCAGGATCCGAAGGGGAAGGGGGGGCGTTAAGGGGGTGTCCCCATGAGTTCGGGGCCGTACCGGTGGCCTGGGCGAGGGCACGGGTCAGGAGGCTCTCGCCGATGCCCAGCTCCAGCCCCTCGGAGGGGGCCCCCGGGCGGTTGAGGCAGAGGCGCAGGCAGGGCAGGAGCTCCCCCGGGGACAGGGCCAGCACCGAGCGCAGGAAATTGCTGAGGGTCTCGATGATCTTCAGCCTTTAGGGGGGGGTCAGTGAGAAGGGGAGGGGGGGTTACGTGTTGCTGTAGGCCTTTTCTTCCCAAAATAATAAAAAAAAAAAAAGGCTCGGGGTCTCACCGGGCTGAGGCTTCCTCAATGCGCTCGAAGGTGCGAGCCACCGCCAGGTAGGGGACACTGAAAATTGGGGGGGGGGGGAGTTGGGTTGTGACCCCCCCCATGCTCAAAAAGCCCCTTCCTCCCCCACCCCAAGCCTCTCCAACCCCCCCATCCCACCCTCCCATCCCCCCATCACCCATCCTATCCCCCCAACCCCCCGGCCTCCCATCACCCATCGCATTTTTCCCCCACCCCCCATTTCACCGCCCCAGCCTCTCCCAGTCCCCCCAACCCCCCCGTCACCCATCCCACCCCCCATCATGCCCCCACCCCATCACCCCCCCACCTCCCCCAAGCCCCCCAATCACCCACCCCACCCCCCTAACCCCTCTCTCTCCCATTACCCCCCCACCCCCCAATCTCCCCACCCCCCTCACCCCCCCACTCCCTAATACCCCCCCCACCCCTCAATCTCCCTGTAACCCCCCACCCCCCGACTCCCTAATACCCCCCCCACCCCCAATCTCCCTGTAACCCCCCCACCCCCCCACCCCCATCACCCTCCCACCCCATTACCTCCCCATCACCCCCTCTACCCCCTCCCCATCACCCCAATGTCCCCTAATCTCCCTCCCCACACACCCCAAATCCCAGCCCCACCCTCCCCAAATTCTGCCCCCCCCCCCCCCCACCTTTGCCCATGCCCCCAGCAGGCGTCCTGCAGCGGGTGGTACCCACTCCTGGCGGGGTCGTACTGGGACGGGTCCAGCGGCGGGGGGCTGCGGGGACACCACAGGGTGTGGGGGGGCAGCGGTGGCATGGTGGGGACCCCCAGCACCCATGGGTGCCCCCCACCCCCCACACTGTGCTGTCACCCACCTGCTGGCGGCCAGAGGTCCCCGGTCCTGGTCACTGGGAGCCTGGCGGCAGCGCTTGGCGGGGGGGGGCCCGACCTCATCCCCCGGGACCCCCGGGGTGGGGGGGGCACCGGGGGGAGTCGGGGGGTGGGGGGGGTACAGGGCCCTGTGAGGAGGGGGGGTTAGAGGGCACTGGGGGGTACTGGGGGAGGTACTGGGGGAGCTGGGAGGGTGCAGAGGGGTACTGGTGAGCTGGGGGGGCACTGGGACATGCTGGGAGGATACTGGGGGAAACTGGGGGGGTACTGGGAGGCACTGCGGGGGCACTGGGGGAGTGCTGGGAGGTGCTGAGGGAGACACTGGGGGGGTACTGGGGGGATCCTGGGAGGATACTGGGGGGGCACACTGGGAGGGCACTGGGGGAGATACTGGTAGAGATACTGGGAGGTGCTGAAGAGGGTACTGGGAGATACTGATGGAGTAGGGGGGGGTACTGGGGGGCACTGGGGACATGCTGGGAGGATACTGGGTCGGCACTGTGGGGATACCGGGGGAGCTGGAAGGGTACTGGGCGAGCTGGGGGGATGCTGGGAGGCACTTGGGGGATACTGCAGGAGCCGGGAGGTTACTGGGGGCATGTTGGGAGGATTCTGGGGGGGCACTGGGAGGGTACTGGGGGGAACCAGGGAGACACTGGGGGCACACTGGCTGGCACAGGACAGGATACTGGAAGGACACTGGTGGGATACTGGGACTAACAGTGGAAGATGTAAGGGGTACTGGGATCAGGCTGGTGTGGTAATGGGGGGACTGCAGGGTTACTGGGGGAGGACTGGGAGATACTGGGGTGCCAGAGCAGGGCTGGGGCTGGACTGGGAGGGACTGAGAAGTGCACTGGGATGGGGTTGGGGGGTCACTGGGGGATACTGGGAGGGACTGGGACCAACAGCATAGCACTGGGGAACACTGGTATGGGACTGGGCGGGGGGGAGGGGTGCATGGGGTCACTGGGGGATACTGGGGCAGGACTGGGACGTACTGGGACCGGGGGTCATCAAGGGTCACCGGGGGGGTCACTGGGGGTCACCAAGGGTCACCGGGGGGGGGCACCGTGGGGTCACCGGGGGTTACCGGGGGGTCTCCGACCGGGGTCCCGGAGGAGGGCGGCCCCCGCCCATCGGGGTCCCCTCCTTCCAGCGATGCCGGCTCCTGGGGGGGGTCCCGGGGGGGGTCCCGGGGGGGCTCCGCCGACGGCTCCGAGGAGGGGGAGGGGGCGCGGGGGGGGCCCTGCCCCTGCTGCTGGGCGGGAGCCCTGCGGTGGGGGGCAGGGGGGGGTCATGGAGGGGGGAGGGGCGCGGAGGGTGCACCCCCGACCCCCCCCAGCATTTTGCCCCCCCCCCCCCCCAAATCCCACCCCCCCAGACCCCCACTCACGGGGCGGCGCCGCCATCCGCAGCCCGGGGGGGGCCGAAGAAAGACCTGGAAAAGGGGGGGGAGGGGAAGCGGGGGCGGTCACGGCCGGCACCGGGCGGGGGGGGGGAGCCCCGGGGGTGGGGGGGTCCCGTTTTTTTTTTTTGGGGGGGGGAGGGGGGGTCCCGGCGCCGCTCACGTGATCCGCCGCTGCATGGCCGCCGCTTTTCGCGGGAAAAAAATCCAAGCGGGTGACGTCACCAGCGGCGGGGAGGGCGGGGGGGCGGGGAGAGAGGCGCGGGGGGTGCTGGGAGATGTAGTCCCGCGGGGGGGGAGGGGTGGGGGCGGTGTCGCCCAAGGGGAAGCGCTGTGGGGTTGGGGGCTGTGTCCCCGTGGTCACGTGTTCCCTTGTTTCCATGTCCCCCAGTTGCCAGGTCCCGGTGGCCCCCTGTCCCCACGTCCCCCTGTCCCCACATCTCCCCGTCCCCCTGTCCCCATGTCCCCCTGTCCCCCTGTCCCTACATCCCCATGTCCCCATATTCCCCTATTTGCAGGTCCCAGTGGCCTCCTTGTCCCCACATCCCACTGTCTCCATATCCCCCTGTCCCCACATCCCCCTGTCCCCATGTCCCTCATGTCCCACAGGTCCCAGTGGCCCCCTTGTCCCCACATATCCCTGTCCCCACATATCCCTGTCCCCGCATTCCCCTGTCCCCACATTCCCCCGTCCACATCTCCCCATGTCGCCCTATCCCCACATCCCCCTGTCCACATGTCCCCCAGTTCCCAGGTCCCAGTGGCCCCCTTGTCCCCACAGCCCCCTGTCCCCACATTCCCCAGTCCCCCTGTCCCCCTATTTGCAAGTCCCAGTGGCCTCCTTATCTCCACATCCCCCTGTCCCCACGTCCCCCTGTCCCCCAGCCCTTCTGCCCCTATATCCCCCCATTCCCGTGTTCCCCTCATCCTGCGTCCTCCTGATGCCCCGTTCCCGTGTCCCCGTGTCCCTCCATCAGCAGTGTGCAGCCAGCAGGAGCAGGGAGGTGATCGTCCCCCTGTATTCAGCTCTGGTGAGGCCTCACCTCAAGTACTGTGTTCAGTTTTTGGCCCCTCACTACAAGAAGGACATCGAGGCCCTGAGATGTGTCCAAATAAAGCCTGCAAAGCTGGTGAAGGGTCTGGAACACAAGTCTTATGAGTGGCTGAGAGAACTGGGGTTGTTGAGTCTGGAGGAGAGAGGAGAGACTTTATTGCCCTTTATAACTACCTGAAAGGAAGGTGTGGGAGCTGGGGATCGGCCTCTTCTTGCAGATAACTAGCAATAGGAAACAAGAGGGAATGGCCTCAAGTTGCACCAGGGGAGGTTCAGGTTGGAAATCGGGAAATATTTTGTCTCAGAAAGAGTAGTCAGGCATCAGGATAGGCTGCCCAGGGAGGTGGTGGAGTCACCGTCCCTGGGGGAGGTGTTTAAGGAAAGGCTGGATGGGATACTTAGGGACATGGTTTAGTGGGTGATATTGGTGGCAGGGGGATGGTTGGTCCAGATGATCTTGGAGGTCTTTTCCAACCCTAATGATTCTATGATTCTATGGTCACCGTCCCCAGTGTGACCACCCGATGTGGCTGGTGCTGGAGGCTGTGTCCTGGCCCTAAGAGGACCCCAAACAACCCAAGGCTCCCATGACATGCGGAAAACAGACTCCAGAACCTGTAAGATTGTAAAGTAGGTATTTTTGTTCAGTGCTGGGCAGCATGGGGAGTCACCCCACCACAATCATGGTAGTTTGTCCAGTATTTATGTAGAAGGGGATACAGGATTAAGGAAACGCCTATACATATTCATACCCTTTCCCCCAAAAATTATTACGAGTTCTGAGAAATCATTTCCATCATCTCCGCCTCTAACTCCTCCCAGCTGCACATCCGTAGCGTCTTCTGGTGGTCATGGGCCAGGGTCTTCGGGATGAAGACCGTATGTCTTCCTCATTGTGGTGGTTTTACCCAGTACACTCCTTAAGCACTTTTCACCTTGACCACAAAACTCATCTAAATCAGCTCTTGTTTGGCAGGGGTTGAGCTATCTTCCTGTTTTACCAGATGAGTTCCTACTTGCATAACCACTCGTGTACATTCTATATCCTCTGTCTTGTGGTTAGCTACAAAATGTAAGCACAAGGCTATAAATATATTTCAAACTGCTGTAACCTTCTAAGTTTCAGTCCTCCCTGCCAGTCCCCCCTTTCCTAAATATGAGGTGAATTGTTTCACCTTTGACAGTCTAATTATTCAAAATTTTCTTAAAGTACTCCCTATCTCTATTTGGTGCTTAAGTTTATTTTTCTTCCCTTATCTTTCAGGGTTGTCCTGTTGATACTCCCTACTTCAGTCCTGTCCCTGTGCTTGATTTACAGCGTACATCTGTGTTAGCTAAAATTTGCAAAATCAGCATTGCGCGACCTCTCTAGGTCTGCTATAGTTCTACAGTTAACCCTTTAGCACCTGTTTCTTACTTTAATCCCCCCCCTCCCTTTTTCTAAACCATTAGTAAAATATTCTACTTATTTCTACAAAATACTTTCTTTTTCTAAGAACTTCCTAAAGTATTTTCCTGATTCTGTCTTCTGGCAAAGTTGATGCTTTTTCCAGGATTCATCGTCGGCTGGGACATTCTTACTACAAAATATAAAACACTTTAGCAACAAAGCAGAATTCCTAAGATGATTAGTACAAATAATAATACAAATAGTTGTTTTAGCAACATTGGGCGACCATGGGGTTAATTTATTCCACAACTCTTGTGTTGTGGTTTAACCCAGCCAGCAGCTAAGCACCACACAATGGGGGAGAGAATCCGGAAAATGAAGCCTTTGGGCTGAGATAGAGACAGTTTATTAGGACAGAAAAGAAAAGAAAATAATAATAATAATGATAATAGTACCACTAATAATAATGTGTACAAAACAAGCGATGCATTATGCAATTGCTCACCACCTGCTGACCGATACCGAGCCTAATCCCGAGAAGCCAGTCCCACCACCCCAGCCAGCCCCCATATTAATTGTTCAGCATGACTTTGTTTGGTATGGAATACCCCTTTGGCCAGTTTGAGTCAGCTGTCCTGGGTCTGTCCCCTCCCATCTCCTGCTGCACCCCCAGCCTGCCCACTGGCAGGACAGAGCAAGTGCTGCTCTGCAACAATTAAAACATCAGGGTGTTATCAGCACCCTTCTCATCCTAAATCCCAAACACAGCCCCCTGCCAGCTACTAGGAGGAAAATTAACTCTATCCTAGCTGAAACCAGGACATATATCCACCCCTTATTCCATACCATTTACATGTATGTCATGCTCAAGTTACACCCTTTCCAATACATTCCAATTAATCACCATTTTCATTTATGATATATAGAATGTCCACTGAGTTTGCATAGTCTGTGACTGACTTCAGGCTCCATCTGTCACAGCAGTCTTTTAGGGCAGAAGAGATGGTGTGTTACGTTGGATTGTCACACGTTGAAGCCTGTTCTTGTTTCATCACATCTCTGTGCTTGTCCATTTCTATCAAAATTCATTCATTATTATCTGTGTGGCTGTTACTGTGATACCATTAATATGACATTGACATATAGCAATAATAGTATTGATGACATACTATAAAATATGATGACATACAATATGATGACATACAATACAGTATTATATAATAATTAACATGGTACAATTCAATTCATGGGCTATTCTAACCCAGTGTTAATTGCCCTTGAGGTACACACCGGACCTCTCTATTCTTTTGCATTACCCACCAAGTGCATCCAGGTCCCTGAGCAAAAGCAATCCCATGAATGGGTTTGCCTTTTCCTGAGGCAGGGGTAGCTCTGACTGTTTTACCCAGCATATTTCTTACATGCACTACAGGAACTTTATCCCCATCTACAGTATGTAACAGGTTTGATTGGGCAGGTCCAGCTCGGTTGGCAGATCCCCTAGTATTGACTAACCAGGTGGCCTTTGCCAAATGCGTATCCCAGTTTTTGAACGTCCCAGCGCCCATTGCTTTCAAGGTAGTCTTTAACAGGCCATTGTATCGTTCAACTTTCCCGGAGGCTGGTGCATGATAGGGGATGTGATACACCCATTCAATACCATGTTCTTTGGCCCAAGTGTCTATAAGGTTGTTTCGGAAGTGAGTCCCATTGTCTGATTCTATTCTTTCTGGGGTGCCATGTCGCCATAGGACTTGCTTTTCAAGGCCCAGGATGGTGTTCCGGGCGGTGGCATGAGGCACAGGATATGTTTCCAGCCATCCGGTGGTTGCTTCCACCATTGTAAGTACGTGGCGCTTGCCATTGCGAGTTTGAGGGAGTGTGATGTAATCAATCTGCCAGGCCTCTCCATATTTATATTTCAGCCATCGTCCTCCATACCAAAGAGGCTTTGACCGTTTGGCTTGCTTGATTGCAGCACATGTTTCACAGTCATGAATAACCTGTGCTATAGCGTCCATGGTCAAGTCCACCCCTCGATCACGAGCCCATCTGTATGTTGCGTCTCTACCTTGATGGCCTGAGGTGTCATGGGCCCATCAGGCTATAAATAATTCACCTTTATGCTGCCAATCCAGGTCCACCTGAGCTACTTCAATCTTAGCAGCCTGATCCACCTGCTGGTTGTTTTGATGTTCTTCAGTAGCCCGATTCTTGGGCACATGAGCATCTACGTGGCGTACTTTCACAGCCAGGTTCTCTACCCGAGCAGCAATATCTTGCCACAATGCAGCAGCCCAGATGGGTTTGCCCCTACGCTGCCAGTTGTTTTGCTTCCATTGCTGTAACCATCCCCACAGGGCATTTGCTACCATCCATGAATCGGTGTAGAGATAGAGAACTGGCCATTTTTCTCGTTCAGCAATGTCTAAAGCCAGCTGAATGGCCTTCACTTCTGCAAACTGACTCAATTCACCTTCTCCCTCAGCAGCTTCTGCAACTCGCCGTGTAGGACTCCATACAGCAGCCTTCCATCTCCGATGCTTCCCCACAATACGACAGGACCC